GAATTTCTACGTAGGAAAACTGTTACCCTAAAACATAGTGGAAACTAAGTGATGATTCTTAATTAGAAGTAGAATTGTACCTAAGAAACAGTTTGGTTTAGAAGGGTTTTTTTGTTGATTTTCATTTAACCAAGAAAACAAAACTATTAGAACCCTGAATATTCTCAACATAGTGGGTAGGGTAGTGGGAGAGTTGGATGAAAGAACCATGTCTATGCTCAAGAGATTTACAGTGCTCACTTTCGAGGCTGTTGTTCACCATCAAGCTGACTGACGCACAGCTGACCCACCAGCAGGTTTTCAGAGGCCAGAACAAACTGAGAAAAAGCCCTTTTATTTTTTTTTTATTAAGTTTAATGAAAATTTACAGAGACTTTGGATTTCCATTCATTCATTGTTGCACTTTTCTCTCTGCCCACCCCCCTCCAAGTTTGCTCTTCTCTTTGTTATTAAATTTTATTAGTTTTAATGAACATTTACAGGGATTTTGGGTTTTCATTCCTTCATTGCTGCACCATTCTCTCTACCCTCCTCCCCAGTTTGTTCTTCTTCCCCGCCATCTGAATGTCTGTTTTAATTGTCCAATTGCCACAGTGCTTGTCAAAGTCAGTTCTGATTAATCTCCTTTGTCGGTGTGTCCTTTGCCATTCCCTATCACTCCTCCCTGAGAGAGACTTCACCCTGATTCATAAGGAAAAGGGGATGGCGTATTCTCTTAGCTACTTCCTGCTGAAAAGGGACCAAAACGCCCCTTTAAACGCATATAATTCTCTCTATAAATCCATCATCAATTTTTCTTAGAAGGGATAAATGTTATGCCACTCAGAGTTGATGATAGTGTCTAGTTAATTGATCTTAAAGGGAGTAAACATGATTTGGAGGGGATTTGGGGTTGCATATTCTATAGAGAATTTGCACATGTGATACCCCCCATGTCCTAACCCCTGCCATTCCAGGCTGTGTCATGCTTCCTGTTTACTATAATCCTATTTCTCTGGGAATTATTTCTGTCTTTTCAGAGGAACTTTCCTCCCAGTGAAGGCTTGTGTATTTATTCAGTAGTAATGTTCAACATTTAGCAACTTTGGTTTTTAGTGCATGTGTGTATGTGACGAATAATAGAGAAATTCAAAGCTTGAATTAATACTTGAAATTTCAATAATGTGACGTTTTGATGGTTTGAGTTGTGGTACTAGAGAAGACTTTTGAAGATACCGTGGACTGCCAAGAGAACTAACAGGTCTGTCCTAGAAAGGATGAAACCAAGCTGCCCCTTGGAGACAAGGATGTTGAGGACCCCCCCCTTCTCGTGTACTTTAGGCATGTAGCCAGGAAGAACCAGTCTTTGGAGAAGGATATTATGCTTGGAAGGATCGTGGGACAGAGCAGGAAAGGAAGACCCCAGATGAGATGGATTGACACAGTAACTGGATAATGAGAGTAGATGTATCAGAGACAGTGAGACTGGCTCAAGATAGAGCAACATTCAGAGCGTTAGGGTGAATAGGGTCACTATTAGTCATACACAGCTCTATGGTATATATAACAACAGAAGTTTTGCGTTATGATTCAGATCATTTGATTAATAATATCGGTTTATAGCTGCATTTAGAAATAAACTAGAGTTGAATATTAAAGTTAAATTTGTTCACTATTGAAATTTCTGTTACAAGAAAGGAATTTTATCCAACTTTCTCTTTTAAAAGTGTGCTGTGAGTATTTAGCCTCTCTTTAGAATGTAAGTTTCATAAAGACATTACTTTTTTTCAAGGTTTTGTTCATTGCGTATTCTTATTACCTGGAGCAATAAATTTGTGTTAGGTTATTAAAAAAAAGTCTGCTGTTGTTGTTGCTGTTGTGTACTATCTAGTCTGAACCAACCCATAACTGACCCTCCAGGGGGGTTTCTGAGACAGTGTAATCACACGAGAAGAAATTACCCATCTTTCTCCTGCGAATCAGCTGGTGGATTTGAACCACACTGGATTGGCGCACAATTCCTTATCACTACACCTCCAGAGACCCCCTTTAAAAGTGTGTAGCTCAGGTCATTTAAGGAAAGGGTGGGGGGTGTGAACCACAGGAAAATTAATTGAATGAGTGCTTCTTCATCATTTTTTTAAAAAAAAAGGACCAAAAACCGACCAACCAGAACAAATGTGAGTGAAAAATTGGACTTGCTAGGTGAAATGTTACAAATTCCTTATATTAGGAATTGAGGATCACTCATGGAGCCTCTCGGATTTGTCTGGAAGAGTTTTTAGTAAGAAATCCTCTCCACTCTCAGATTGCTTCAGTTTTATTTTGTTTTGTTTATTTTTCTATAGTCTCTGACCTTGAAAACGTGCTAATAGAAATTGGTAGACTTCACCATTCCTTCCTTCCTATCTTAAAATGATCGCCTTTGCCACTTTCACAGAGCTTGCTCCTTGAGCCCTTGAAGCTGTGGCTTCTCCCAACTGCTTTCCTGCTCTAATCTCCTTATAGGTGTAGCACCATGGCAACAGGCCCAGCCTAGTGCCTAGGAACCTTGTTTGTCTCACCTGAGGGGCTAGCTGTAACCTGAAGGAAGAGAAGAATATTACCCATCCAGCAGCTCATTTGAATGAAGATACAGACTTCTTGTTCTGTTGCTTATTATTACTGTTGTTCCATTTCTCTTGAAGACTTGAAATAACACCTGGAAAACATTCATTCAGAGATGTTGTCAGTAACCACGGGCAGCCGGGAAACCATCTTCTGTAGGTTCCTGTCTTCTAAACAGAGAGTTGTTTTCTGAGCTGTGGTACAGAAAGCGACTCGCTATACCTTGGCATGTGGCTCCGCTATGATTTGGGGCTGCACTGCCAGGTGGCTGTACAATTGCTTCATGTAGGTAGATGCTTAATTTATTTGAAATAAAGTTAATTTTTGTTTTAGAAAATTATAAATAAGGAATTTAAAAATTAAAAGGAACCCTTTAGTGGTTTCTCCTTGTCGTTAAATATGCCTTGAGTGTGCCTGCTGTAAGCCTCACAGCCACGGGAGTAGCTCTCCCCCCATCAACTCCTCTTGGGAAAAATGGGCTAAAATTGTTTTTTTCTGTGTGTTTAAAAAAGATTACAGTGTCCTGTTGTCTATGCTTCCTGTGAAGCATACTGGGAAAGGTTATATGGTAATTATATTCATTTTTAAGCATTTATTTGTAGTCAGTATGCTATATATGCAGTATAAAATATGTCTTTGTCTTATCCAGTAGAGCAAAATAAAATAAATGTGGAGCTTGTGTTGCATTGTTATTTTTTTTTATAGAAGTTTGGGTAACATTTGTCTCTTTTGTGCATACTTCTTATATTATATTATATTATATTATATTATTATTATATTGAAATAGAAATGCTAATATTTTGACCATAAGTTGCTGAACATCAGCCTTAAGCTTTTTTTTTCAGTGCTAATATCTTTATTACAGGAGTAATAGAAAAGGTGACAGGAGCAAAGGGGTTTTTTTGTTCTTTTTTTATTGCTTTGCATACAAAATTCACATGCATTGTGTGATATATATATACACACACATACACACACACACACATATAATATTTCAGGCATTCCACTATTCACATTGTTTTTCATACAGGCTTGAACTTTAAATGGTGCATGATTTTTGTGGAAAGAATGATCTTTATTGCTTAAGACTTTTGCTGTATGGAGCTTGATTAAACATTGTTAGAATGGAGACTAAAGAAGGAAGGCAGCCTTTAGTGCTAGTTTCCTATATCTCATTACTTTATAATTTAACTAAGAGCTACTCTGACATTAAGTATTCCAATTCCTGTTAATGTTAACATGGTTATTTCAAGGAAGTGATCAAAGATGCTTATTTAATGTGCTTTACAAAAACAAATGCCTTTACACAAAGCATTTCTTTGAATCCCTGTTACTAAGCAGTACTACTTGAAATACATGTGCTTAATTCTGAGTATTTTAATCAAGAAATACTATAATTATCAAGTAAAACTGCATAGCCATCTAGTCCTAGATTCAGTATTGTGCTTTATATTTAACTTCGTTAGTTCTTCCAGGGGAAGGGCAAGTGAAGTACTAGCTCCTGTAGTGGTAAGTCATGACACCTAACGTGCCGTTGAAAACAACTGGGAACATAATCAGCCACAGTGTCTGAATGGTGTTGAAAAAGTTCTGTTCTTCTACACAAGAGTTTGAGCATTTATTTTGAGGGTTGGAGATTTCTACAAGACATTTATTCATTCGTGTTTATACAGTAAAGCATGAATAAGACCCCAAAGGCTTAGAAAAGAGTTCTATATTGAGATGGAAATCAGGCCTTTTGAAAGTCTAGGTCTAGTACTGTGAAGTTTGACTTTGACTCTGTATGTGTGTATGTTTATTCTGCAAAAATAGAAGCAAACAGAATGAGGGTTCAACCACTACTATTTTTTTTTTCAAGGATTGAAGAAGATAATGCTGTAGCATAAGGGAGAAATTTAAAAAAAAATACTATGTCTTTTTACAAAAAAAATTATAAAAATATGTATGATAACCTTGAATAACATAACACTAATACCTCTATCATTAAGGTGGAAATGATGATAAATAGAATGTGTATAATAGAGTTTTGCATTCCCTTGAAACTGTATTTTCAAACTGTACTGAGGAAAAAGGGAAAAAAAGGAGTATGTGTGCCAGGACTTGTATAAGCAGAAAACCCATCAGAGAAGGAAAACGTAAAGATTTTCCACTAAAACAAGTAAAGGAGTAGTGATATGATAATACCCTGTCCAAAGCGGAAAACTTTCAAGATGCAGGAAAACAAAAGACAATTTTGTTAAGTTATAGGTTTCTGTGCATATGACTCATCTGTGTCTTGTGAATATAGTTACTGTTCTTACTGTTTAATAACTGGGTGTTTTCATATGCATGTTTACGCATTTGTTGTTAGCATCCACTGTCCTTTCCTTGTCCACCAAGTCTGTAATACCTTAAATTCTATTTCCCACATCCAGGTCTCGTGGGCTGCCTAAACTAAAAGAGTCGCGTTCTCATGAATCCTTGCTGAGCCCGTGCAGTGCAGTGGAATGTCTGGATCTGGGTAGAGGGGAGCCTGTTTCAGTGAAACCACTTCACAGCAGCATTCTTGGACAGGACTTCTGCTTTGAGGTAAAGAAGAGGAAGAAAGTAGTTCAACAAGGCATTCTACATTCAGTAATTTCATTACTATGATATTGATTATTTGATCATCATAAATTACTTCAAGCCAATAAACAAATTCACTGCCGCCAGCTAGGTTTCAAGTCATAACAGCCCTCCACTGGGTTTCTGAAACTATAAATCTTAATGGAAGGATATTGTCCATCTTTCTCTAAAAAAGCTTTCTGTTGCTAAGAATTACTTACTTACAGGGGAAAATGTTGGAATTCTATTAATCTAATTATGTTGGAAATGAAAGTTGTTCATAATGGCTTGGCATTCCCTTTGGCCTAGTCTGCTTTCAAAATAAATGGGTTCTTGACGCCAAGACTAGCACTAACTTAGTAAACAAGTATTTTTCTTATTATTAATAATAGCTATTAGCTTCTATATTATTTTTCTCCTGAAACCCTAGTTTCCAAATTTAAAGGTACCTTGAGGTGATTACTAAGGCTAAAACACTTCTGACTACAGTACAGGCATTTCAAGATGTAAAGTGTCTTGCTTATTTTTGTAATCTTGTGCAACTTAGCTCTTGTATATTGCGGGCACCTAATTTGTTAAATGGATCAATTACCCTTCAATAGAAAATTATGAATATTTTTATAATAATATACCTGTCCCAGATGAGATATTTGTGAATAAACCTTAAAGGAATATATATTTATATATCTGTAATTGAAAGCTACAATATATCTGTAATTGTTAGGGTTGGAATTTCGTTACACATTGACTGATGATTTTTTTTTTAATTATAATTATATTTTATTAATTTTCATAAACATTTACAGAGATTTTGGGCTTCCACTCATTCATTGTTGCACTATTCTCTCTACCCTCCTCCCAGTTTGTT